AGTTTGGCTATAGGCTAATTGATATAAATAATTAAGTTCCTATGGCATATTTCTGGTCACAAAACATCACGAAACATCTAAATAAAAATCCGAAACACTTCTAATATTAAACCTTGAATGTGAGTTATACATACATTTAAGAAAGATTAATTAAAAGTATAAGACAATTATTTTCCCAATTATTCCAGGTCAGGATTACAAGTGGCCAGAGCCTATGCCAGCACCAGGGCACAAAGGAGAACCCAGCCCTGGACAGGATGCCATTCCCTCACAGGGTACACTCACACATACGCCACACTCGCTCAGACCGGGACCATTTAGACATGCCAGCTCACCTAACGTGCGCATTTTTGGGTTGTGGAAGGAAACCAGAGTATCCAGAGAAAACACACGCAGTCATGGGGAGAATGTGCAGACGTCACAGACTTCACACAGACAGTGGCCTTTGCCAGGAATCAATTTTTTTCATCAATGTTAAAAAAAAAATCGTTGAACATGACATTATTCAAAGGCCTGCCATACTCCCTCTACTCTACCTGCTGTGTATCCTAGAAGTTTGACCTATGTGGGCTCCTGCTGGACTCCTTTGCCCTCTGGCTTTTTGTTGGGTCCAACATTGGGAAATAGCAGTAGGAGATCAGAGGTCAGGGGAAAAGACAGGTCTAGGAATTTATCCCCCAGCTCCCTCCCAAGTGAATCTTTGTGTGAGGACACTTCTCTCCACAAAAGTTCACTGCTTTTAGCAGGCAACATCTGCCACACAACTGCCCTCTTCAGATTCTGGTAATCAAATCACTCCCACCCCATCCCTTCAGACCTTTGGGTAGTGATGATTAACTAGCTGTTGCTAGCTAGCACTGGGGAAACTTTGTATCCCTTTTAGGTCTCCCTAAACTCTGCACACATCTTGTAAATGATTACTTTATTAAGCACTCCTCAAATTATCTAGTTTGAGTGTGCCATCTGTTTCCTGCCAGGACTCTGATACAGAAAGAAATCAGTCACAGTATGGTAGCTAGCATTTATTGCCTCCCAGGCATTCTTTTAAGCAGTTTATATATTTTTTCATTTAATTCTCACAGCAACCCTAAGAAGTATCCCTTCTTTACAGATGTGGAATCTGAGATATAGAGAGATTAAGGAGATTAAGTAATTTTTCCAAAGATGCACAGCTAGTGAGCCAGAATTCAAATCTACAGAGTCTGTTTCCAGAGCCTATGTTCTTAGCTACTATGCTTTTCTGGTGAGGTAAGAGTTGACGGTGTAAATTACAGCAACATCAACAGAATGGGGGAAACTGAAGAAATTTAAGAGAGATTGTTGCTAATTCCAGGAGGATCAATTGGGATCAAGAAGCAATGAGATGCATTGGTTATGAACACAGATTTTTTGTTGTTGTTGAGACAGAGTCTATCTCTATTGCCCAGGCTGGAGTGCAATGACACAATCTTGGCTCACTACAACCTCTGCCTCCTTGGCTCAAGTGATTCTCCCGCCTCAGGCTCCTGAGTAGCAGGAGCAATATATATATATATAATGCAATATACATATATTGCATTTTAGGTTTTGGGGTACATGTGAAGAGCATGCAAGATTGTTGCATAGGTACATACTTGGCAGTGTGATGTGCTGCCTTCCTCCCCATCACCTGTATCTGGCATTTCTCCACATACTATCCCTCCCCAACTCCTCAACCCCCACTGTCCCTCCTCTAGTTCCCTCCCGAAGACCCCAGTGTGTGACACTCCCCACCCTGTGTCCATGTGTTCTCATTGTTCAACACCCGCCTATGAGTGAGAACACGCGGTATTTGATTTTCTGTTCTTGTGTCAGTTTGCTGAGAATGATGGTTTCCAGGTTCATCCATGTCCCTACAAAAGACACTAACTCATCTTTTTTTATGGTTGCATAGTATTCCATGGGGTATATGTGCCACATTTTCCCTGTCCAGTCTATCATTGACGGGCATTTGGGTTGGTTCCAAGTCTTTGCTATTGTAAACAGTGCTGCAATGAACATTTGTGTTCATGTGTCCTTATAATAGAAAAATTAATAATCCTTTGGATATATACCCAGTCATGGGATTGCTGGATCAAATGGAATTTCTATTTCTAGGTCCTTGAGGAATCGCCACACTGTCTTCCACAATGGTTGAACTAATTTACACTCCCACCAACAGTGTAAAAGCATTCCTATTTCTCCACATTCTCTCCAGCATCTGTTGTCTCCAGATTTTTTAATGATCACCATTCTAACTGGCGTGAGATGGTATCTCAATGTAGTTTTGATTTGCATTTCTCTAATGACCAGTGATAAGCATTTTTTCATATGTTTGTTGGCCTCATATATGTCTTCTTTTGTAAAGTGTCTGTTCATATCCTTCACCCACTTTTGAATGGGCTTGTTTGTTTTTTTCTTGTAAATCTGTTTTAGTTTTTGTAGATTCTGGATATTAGCCCTTTGTCAGTTGGGTAGATTGCAAACATTTTTTCCTATTCTGTTGGTTGCCATGTCACTCTAATGACTGTTTCTTTTGCTGTGCAGAAGCTGTGGAGTTTGATTAGGTCCCATTTGTCTATTTTGGCTTTTGTTGCCAATGCTTTTGGTGTTTTGGTCATGAAGTCCTTGCCTATGCCTATGTCCCGAATGGTTTTGCCTCGTATTTTTTTTTTAAAGTAGAGACAGGGTTTCACCATGTTGGCCAGGCTGTTCTTGAACTTCTGACCTCAGGTGATCTACATGCCTCGGCCTCCCTAGTAAAGTGCTGGGATTACAGGCATGAGCTACCACACCTGGCTATTAATAAATATTTATTCATAAATCTACCCAGAGAAACAGAGGGGCACCTGTTGGAATTTAGAAATGTTAGCTCTAAAGTGCTTCAGCTCTGTGGCTGAAGACCCCCCTGAGATCAAACCAGCCCTTCCTTTCCTTTGGAGGCCCACTGTACTTTTGTTGTTTTTATGGCTGTCTTTAACTCTGATATCACATTTATTGGTTTATATGTCTCTCTCCCTGCTGAGTTCCACTAGTCCTGATTCATACCCTTATCCTTATTTACTCTCATCATATGAAGCACATAGTAAGTGCTCAATAATATTTGCTAAATGAATGAATGACTCAGTGCTCCTAGAAAATTATTCCCTGAGCTTCATTCCAATTCTCCTTCCCTGCTGTCATGTAGATGAGAAAATTACTCTGCTGCTTTATTGATTAGTCTTCTTATTTATTCACAAAGTCTGGTGTACACTAGGTGCTTAGTAAATATTTGTTAAATTAATGAACTAACATCAAGAAATTACAGTAAGTTGGCAGCCTAGAACAGTGGAAGCTGTGGAGTCAGATTAGTTGGATTCAAATCCTGGTTCTAATGCTGTGAGACACTGGGCAAGTTACATCTTCTCAATGTGCCCCAATTTCCTCCTGTGTGAAATTAGGATAATAGAATCTCTCATAGACGTAAACGTAGTGTGAGAACCAAGTGAGATAATACTGGCTGGCTCATAGTGAGGGTCTAACAAATGTTATCTACATGGTGCTGAGAATCATGGAGTCACTCTGGGGCTTCTATCCATTCTTTCATTTTTTTTAGGTCAGTGCATAAAGTCTAGTGCTCAGGGCATTACTCTGAATATGGGCCCCCTAACAATAGGTTGCAATTTGCTGAGATCACACCACTGCACTCCAGCCTGGGTGACAGAGCAAGACTTTGCCTCCAAAAAAAAAAAAAAAAAGAAAGGAAAGTATGGTGGTAAACAAAACAATCCATTTTAGGAGTAGTCTTGGTTAAAGTCCTAGACCCTTGAAAGCCAGACCCAGCCTTTGTGACCACATTTCTGTATACTTGAAATACTGAGCAACATGCTTTGCACTAGGCAGATACTCATTACATGTATAATTGAAGCATGGCTTGCTGATCCATGTTCTTGATTTTCTTGCTGTCCTGAATGAACACTAAGGCCTGGGGAGTATGGTTTGCCTATTGTGATGAACTGTGTAAGAATCAAAAGGAAAGGGATGAAAGTGTGTGGTCCTGTTATGGGCTGAACTGTGTTCCCCCCCAAATGCATATATTGAAGCCCTAATCCTCAATGTGACTATTTGGAGATAGGACCTTTAAGGAGGTAATTAAGACAAATGAGGTCACAAGGGCGGGGCCCTAATCCAATATAACTAGAGTAAGAGGAGAAACACCAAGGCTTCATATGAGGACATAGCAAGAAGGTGACCACAGAGAGAGGCCTCAGAGAAAACCAAACCTGCTGACACCTTGATCTTGAACTTCCAGTCTCCAGAACTGTGAGAAAATAAATTTCTGTTGCTTAAGACACAAATTCTATGGTATTTTATTATGGCAGTCTAAGCAGACTAATACAGACTCTATTCCATTTGCTAATGAGAGTAGTTGGTGGCACACGCCTGTAATCCCAGCACTTTGGGAGGCCGAGGTGAAGGGATTGCCTGAGCCCAGGAGTTCAAGACCAGCCTGGGCAACATGATGAAACTCTATCTCAATACAAAAATTAGTTGGGCATGGTGGCACACACCTGTAGTACCAGCTACTTGGGAGGCTGAGATGGGCAGATCACCTGGGCCTGGGGAGGTAAAGGCAGTAGTAAGCCGTGATTGTGCTACTGCCCTCCAGCCTGGGAGACAGAGTGAGACTCTGTCTCAAATAAATAAACAAATAAATAAATATGGGCCAAGCGTGGTGGCTCATGCCTATAATCCCAGCACTTTGAGAGGCCAAGGTGGGAGGATAACTTGAGGCCAAAAGTTCAAAACCAGACTGGCCAACATGCTGAAAACCCAACTCTACAAAAAATTTTAAAAATTAGCATGGTGTGGTGGGCTATGCCTGTAATCCCAGCTACTCTGGAGGCTGAGGCATGAGAATCATTTGAACATGGGAGGCAGAAGTTGAAGCGGATACTACTGCACTCCAGCCTGGGCAACAGAGTGAGACTCTGTTTCAAAATAAGTAAATAAAACAAAAAGTCAACTTTGCACCGTGGCAGTATCATAGCCAATGAGATTTATCAGAGGCGCACTTACTGCTAATTGAATTTTCCCAATACCCTGCTGTGATGACTTGCAATATAGTCAGCACTGGCAAATTTTGACGGTCTCTGCAGAGACTGAAAGCAACAAGAGCAACAGGAAAAAGTCCGACAATTTCTTGACTCTCTAATGGATTGGGGAGATCCAGGACCAATGTTATATATCCCTTCAGTCAGTGTCAAACACATATCTGTCGAGCACAGACTATGTGTCAGCACCATTCCAGCAAAGAAAGAAGAGGAAACTCTCTGCCCTCACATTACTTTCCAGTGGTGTTTATTATCTTTTATTTGTATATTTTACTATGAAATATATCATATGTACAAAAGATTGTCTACAATGTATGGGACTATGTTAAAGAATAAATACACACTTACAAACAACCTAGTTTAAGAAATAGAATATTACCAATACATAATGAGTCCTCATGTGGCTATTGTAATATCATCTTTCCCTCCCCCACAGAGGTAATGCCCCTCCTAAATTTTGTGTTAGTAATTCCCTTGCTTTCCTTATAAGTCTTACCACAGTGTCTGTGTTTCCCTAAACAATCTTCTATCAGTCAGGGTCCTCCCAGGAAATAAATCGCACACTCAAATTAAGATAATCTGAGGAGAGTTTACTAAAGGAACTGTTTACAAATGTGCAAGCAGGATATAGAGTGTGATAAGAACACAAGAATAGGACATTATCCTGAGGCTGGAAACAGGGCTCTTAGGCCTGAAGAGGAGAGGAGGAGTTGGTTATGGGAAGTCAGAGACAGAGTGGGCTGTGGAAGGGGCCATCTGATAGAAGCCCAGATCTACGGTGGAGGGAATCCAGCCAACCCACAGCAATCCCCAATGAGATCAACAGAGAATAAATCCCTGACCCATCTCTCCTTTAGTTCTCCAGTCATCCCTGGCTCATCCTATCAGCCAAACCTAACCAGAGACCAGAAATCAGAAGGGTTCACCGATGCACTCCACGTAGCTCAGCCTACTGGAAATCAGTTAAGTGAAGAAAGTGAATCTGCAGGGGCAAACGGAAGATTTCTAGCCTAAACAGATTGCTTAATATTGCCTGTTTAAGATTATATAAATAGAACCATATAGTATTATTCTTCTATGACTTGCTTTTTTTGCTCCTTCATTAGAGTAACTTGTGTATACCTATAGTTCATTAATATTTAGTTCTGTATAATATTCCCTTATATGAATTTAACACAATGTATTTATCCATTCTATGGTTGATAAGCATTTAGCCTGTTTCCATATTTTTGGGTTTTTTGTTGTTGTTGTTTTTTGTTGTGATTTACAAAAAATTCTGCTATGGACATTCTTATGTATATCTCTCGGTGCAAGAAGGCATATATTGTATATGCAATTGCTGGGTCGTAGGATGTACACAAGTTAAACTTTAATAATGCTAAAATATTTTCCAAAGTCATACTAGTTTGCATTCCAACTGGCATTAAATGAGGCTTCCTGTTATTCCACAGTCTGACACTTGGTATTGTCAGACTTGCTAATTTTTGTCAATCTGTTGCATGAGAAATAGTGTCTTGTTGTGGTTTTGAGTTTCCTTGTTGCTAGCATGGTTAAATTTTTTTTACATACTTATTGGTCATTTATGCTGTCTTCTGAGAAATGATTTGTTTTCTTTTACTAAGTTTTCTATTGACTTTTCTTTCTTTTGTCAATTAAATGTGTTATAAATATCTTCTTCCCCCTTAGTACCTTGCTTCTTCACTCATGGTATCTTTCGGTGCATGCAAGTTAATTTAACATAATTGAGTTCATACTTTTTTTTTTTGAGATGGAGTCTCACACTGTCACCCAGGCTGTAGTGCAGTGGCACATTCCTGGTTCATTGCAATCTCCGCCTCCTGGGTTCAAGCAATTCTCCTGCCTCAGCCTCCTGAATACCCGGGACTATAGGCATGTGCCACTACGCCCAGCTAATTTTTTTTTTTTTTTTTGTATTTTTAGTAGAGATGGGGTTTCGCCATGTTGGCCAGGATGGTCTCGATCTCCTGACCTCATGATCCACCTGCCTCACCTCCCAAAATGCTGGGATTACAGGCGTGAGCCACTGTGCCTGGCTATACTTTTTTCTTTATGGCTTGCACTTTTGGTTCATGTTAAAGAAATCTTTCTCTACCCTGAATTCGTAAAGATATTTCCTATTTTGTCTTCTAAAGGTTTGTCTTACATTATGCTATAAACTTTAAGACATGGGGCCTGTTGGGAATTAGAGAATTCCCTAATTGATTCCTTAATTGATTAATGGACTTATTGCCCTTATAAAACATGGCAAAGAAAACACACTGTCTTTTTTCCTCTTCCACCATGTAAGGAAGCAGCAACAGGCACCATCTTTGAAACAGAGAGAACCAGCCCTCACCAGACACTGAATGTGCTGGCACTGTGATCTTGGACTTCCCAGCCCCCAAAACTTTGAGAAATAAATTTCCATTATTTATAAATTACTCAGTCTGAGATATTTTCTAATAGCAGCACAAATGAACTGAGACATGTTTTATGTCTACCTGGAATTGATGTTTGTGTATAAGGTAATGTAGAAATCAAATTTATTTTTGTAATAGATAACCAATTACTGAATACAGCAGTTTTCCTCTTATCCTTGGGGATACATTCCAAGCCCTCCAGTGGATGCCTAAAACCATGTAGTAGTACTAAACCATAAATATATACATATATATGCATAGATGATATAGATATATGGGGCTATAGATATATGTTTTTTCTATCTCATAACTGAGAAGTCTACAAGTAACTAATGGGTGGATAGTGTATACAGCATGAATCCACTCGACAAGGGAAGGATTCATGTCCTGGGTAGGTTGGAACAGAGATTCATCATGCTACTCAGAATGCCACACTACTTAAAATTTTTTAATTATTTCTGGAATTTCTCCATTTAATATTTTTGGGTTGCAGTTAACCACAGGTCACTGAAACCTTGGAAAGTGAAACCACGAATTAAGGGGAACTACTCTAGTCCATCTTGTCCAACTGATCTGTAAATACTTTTTGTGACATAACTTTTGTTTTTATTTATTAGTCTTTTCTATACTCTCTGTGTATTTTTCTACATTTTTTATTTCATTTTAAATTTTTATTAAAACAGAGATGGGGTCTAACTATGTTGCCTGACCTCCTGGCCTCAAGTGATCCTCCTGTCTCAGTCTCCCAAAGTGTTGGGGAAACAGGCATGAGCCACTGTGCCAGCCTATTTTTCTATATCTTTGCCAACAATACAGTATCTTAAGTATTTTAGTTTTATAACAAGCTTTAATATCTGGCAGGGCAAATCTCTGCCTAGTTCTTCTTCAGGAGTGACTTTGCATAATTTTGAAGGTAATTAGTATCTTTTCATGTTTGTTATTATAAAAGTAAAAATATGCATTGTAAAAAGAAAATATAGATGAGCAAAAACAAGAATGTATAGAAATATCACTACAATCCCGAGATTATTACTGTTAACATCACAGGATAATACATCCTTCTAGAGCTTTTGTTTTATCATATAATAATTGACAATTTATAACATTGAGTCTGTATTCTGGAAATGGTATTTCTCTCCCTTTATTTAGATCTTTAATGTCTTTCAGTAAGGCCAGCTACTGTAACCTCCACCTCCTCAAGCTCAAGTGATCCTCCCACGTCAGCCTCCTGAGTAGCTGGGACCACAGGCGTACCACCATGCCTGGCTAACTTTTTGTATTTTTTGTAGAGACAGTGGTCTCACCATGTTGCCCAGGCTGGTCTTGAACTCCTGAGCTCAGGCAATCCACCTGCCTCGGCCTCCCAGAGTGCTGGGATTACAGGTGTGAGCCACTGCACCCAGCCTTAAATGTCATCTTTTAAAAAATTACTAAGAAAAAAGGACCATCTCTATTTTGTTAATTATTATATCCCCAGCATCTAGTTGAGTGACTAGCAGGTAGTATGTGCTCAGGAAGTATTTCTTTCTTTTTTTTTTTATTGCATTTTAGGTTTTGGGGTACATGTGCAGAACATGCAAGATAGTTGCATAGGTACACACGTGGCATTGTGTTTTGCTGTCTTCCTCCCTTTCACCCACATTTGGCATTTCTCCCCATGCTGTCCCTCCCCTATTCCCCCCAATAGATCCCAGTATGTAGTGCTCCCTTCCCTGTGTCCATGTGTTCTCATTGTTCATCACCCGCCTATGAGTGAGAATATGCGGTATTTCATTTTCTGTTCTTGTGTCAGTTTGCTGAGAATGATGTTCTCCAGATTCATCCATGTCCCTACAAAGGACACAAACTCATCGTTTTTGATTGCTGCATAATATTCCATGGTGTATATGGGCCACATTTTCCCAGTCCAGTCTATCATCGATGGGCATTTGGGTTGGTTCCAGGTCTTTGCTATTGTAAACAGTGCTGCAATGAACATTCGTGTGCATGTGTCCTTATAGTAGAATGATATATAGTCCTTTGGATATATACCCGGTAATGGGATTGCTGGGTCAAATGGAATTTCTATTTCTAGGTCCTTGAGGAATCGCCACACTGTCTTCCACAATGGTTGAACTAGTTTACACTCCCACCAGCAGTGTAGAAGTGTTCCTATTTCTCCACATCCTCTCCAGCTTCTGTTGTCTCCAGATTTTTTAATGATCGCCATTCTAACTGGTGTGAGATGGTATCTCAATGTAGTTTTGATTTGCATTTCTCTAATGACCAGTGATGATGAGCATTTTTTCATGTTTGTTGGCCTCATGTATGTCTTCTTTTGTAAAGTGTCTGTTCATATCCCTCACCCACTTTTGAATGGGCTTATTTGTTTTTTTCTCGTAAATCTGTTTGAGTTCTTTGTAGATTCTGGATATCAGCCCTTTGTCAGAGGGGTAAACTGCAAAAATTTTTTCCCATTCTGTTGGCTGTCGATTCACTCTAGTGACTATTTCTTTTGCCGTGCAGAAGCAGTGGAGTTTGATTAGTTCCCATTGTCTATTTTGGCTTTTGTTGCCAATGCTTTTGGTGTTTTGGTCATGAAGTCCTTGCCTACTCCTATGTCCTGGATGGTTTTGCCTAGATTTTCTT